AATTACACTTCACTTTCTCGCAGTGAAACAGAGGAAGTAACTCTTCAACTTGGGCCTCCAGGAGTATGGGATGGAGAATCAGAGGAATCCAGCTCTGAGTTACCTCCTTTAGGAGGGTAAGGTTGTAGGACTTGTGCTGGAACCATGTACAACTTAATTGGATACAGGATAAATTGAATCTTAGAAAGGTTTTGCACCGAGTGGATCATGAAAGGACATCTCTACATGCAGAATAGTAATCAGAATACCTGCAGCCATGTGTGTTGTAGATTGCGGTATTGTAGGCCTGCAGTCTGCAGTTTTAGGAGAGGTTGTATTTTTTAATGAGAATTGGCAGACATCCTGATAACTGGTTGGGATTGATAGTATCTGATGTTTGGTGAAGTGTGTGCCAAGGTCTATTTCCAAAGTAGTGGAGGAGCTTGTGTGTTTTCTTTAGCGACCAGTTATGTCTGTAATGGAAATTGCTTGCTGGTAGGGTCTTGAATGGAAGCTTTTTAAGTGACTTTCTTGGTGAGCTTGGGGAGTTTAGAGAAGAGTGCTGTGACTTTAAATTTAGAAGTTCATCAAAAATAGTTCAGCAGTATAGAAACATAACCAAATATAAGGGATCATAGTTGTAATATTGTAAGGCTAGAGAAAAAAAGAGGAACATGGAAAAGAAAAGGCTGTTTAAAAAGTATTTCACGGATATATCCATGGCAGCACTACATATGGATATAGCTCCTCCCACTTCCAAATTGGACAGGAACACCTCCTAAATAAAGCTATAAAAGAGAGACACCTTCCCCTACCCTTCAGTCTTTTTTTCCTGTCTACTCCAATCTAGAAGTAGGATGCTTTGCACCTCCTTTTTTCTTTTGTGACTTACTTGGGTCTTCTGAACCCCGATCCAATGGGGAGTTCAGCCTCTCTTCCCATAGTCCCCCTGAAGAAGTCCTTAGCGACCGGGGAGCATATGCTGCAGTGACCATATAAGTTGATGTGGTAATTCTCCCAGAGTATAGGTTAAAAGCGTAGTAAGAGGTTGCTGGCCAGTGTGGAGTAAAGTTAAATGAACACTAAGTTTTTTTTTTAAATAAAAAAAACAATTCTATGCATGACTACTCACAAAAAGTATAGAGAGAAAATTAAAGAGACACTGTAGGCACCCAGACCACTTCAGTTCAGTGTTAACATTGCAGCACTAAGTCAGCCTCTAGTGCTGTCTACCAGACAGCTACTAGAGGGCTTCCTGGATTTAAACGGATCGTTTGTGCGGTATCTGACGCTGGACGTCCTCACACTCTGCATGGGGACCTCCAGCATCAGATTTTTCCCCATAAAAAAAAGCATCCCATGTCATGGGATGTCAAAGGGGGCAGAGCGTCGACCCAGCACAGAGCGACATTGGCGCTGACATAAGGTACGTAAAAAAAGTTTTTTTAACACTTTATTTACCGTGCGTGGGGGTGCACAAGGGAGGAGGGAGCAGGCAAAACACATTTCTTTTATTTCTTATGAGATTAATATTCAACTGTAGGTTATAACACAATAGCACAATCATAAAACAAAACATGGCGACAAAGAAAAAAAATTAAATTACCCCTTTTTAAAAGTCTGCATTCCCGTATTTCTTAATACTTTGTATTACCCCCTTTAGCATCAATGACAACATGTAGTCTTTTGTAATAGTTGTCTAGGAGGTCCCTAATTCTTGCAGGTGATATAGCTAACCATTTGTCTTGGCAAAATGCCTCCCAAGAGTGGCTCAATGATATCAAGGTCAGGAGACTGTGATGGCAACTCCAGAATCTTCACATGTTTCTGCTGTAACCACTGGAGGGTCAACCTGGCTTTTTGCTTAGGGTCATTGTCATGCTGGAAAGTCCAATGTGCAGCCTTTGTGCAGAAGAATGCAAATTGTCTGCCAGTATTTTCTGGAGGGGCCTGCTTGCCCGCCTCCTGCCCTGTGACTATGGCCCCTGGGATGTATTGCCCTTTAAAAGCGTTATTTGGGCATATTGGATATTATTACACTGCTTCTGCCCCTTTAACTACTATGGGAAAGGATTTGTACTTTTGAAATGGCGCTTCGGATGCAGCCGAAGTAGGCATTTTAATTCAGTCGAGCGCTTTCAGCAGTGTTTGGTCGTCGACTAATTTTGGAGTTATAGAAATTGTGTAAAAAGTGTATTTTTCGCTTGGAGATAATTAAGCTGATACAGTAATTAGCCCAATTATCTCCCAAGCAGAGTGGAGGAATTTACTGTAATGAATGAGTGTGTTTAACCGTGTTTCTGTAAATGATTGGTTGTTGAGTTTGTGTTTTCAGTGCCCAACAAGGTCCACGTGGGAGGTAACCTTGTAGGGAAATGTGTATATAAGAAGCAATAAAGCCTCAGTGCATTCTGTTCCTGCTTAACCCTCAATCTAGAGTCTTGTCTCTTATAGGGGGAATTGCTATATCACTACAAGGGATTGCTATGCTCTGCATACTCTCTTGGATAATCACTACTAAGCTCTTTTAAGAGCTTGTTCCTGCTTCGCTCTCTTGGAGGACAGTTCACCCACTGGAACCTGGAGCCTTGTCGTAGGTCTAGGGTGGGTAGGAGACGGTGAGACCCCAACCAAGCTGCGGCGGTTATGGTGTCTGGTGGAGTGCTTTGGAGCCCTCGGAAGCACTAGGAGCGTCCATCAATGGAGGTATCCAGTCGGGGTGCCCGGTGATCCGTTACAGTGGGAAATTGACCTTTAATTGTCATTTTAACCTGTGTGTGTCACATTGTGTGTCTGTAACAAGGCCAAACATTCAAAGGTATGTAAACTTTTGATCAGGACCATTTGGGTGATTTCTGTTATCATTATGATTAAAAAAGGAGCCAAACAACTATGTAATAATAAATGGTTTCATATAATCAGTATCGTTCAATAAAATACATTTTGCATGATCAGTCATATTTCTGCCAGGGTATGCAAACTTTTGCGCACAACTGTATATGTACATCTGTTTATGTACATCTGTGTGCTCATATTTGTGAAAGTGTACAAATACACTAGTGCTTACACTACACACAAGTACAGTCCTGCAATCAAATGCCATCAGTATTCACAAATACAACCCTTTGTGTCACAGAAAAAAATACATGTATTCAAAAATAATGATTAGGGCGCAACAGAAACAAAAGATTTAAGAAAACTGTCATATTTAATCAAATGTGCCAAATAATATTCACCAAAAATTAGCTCTAAAAGTGTTGGCAACATTTTGATAAATCCCACCCAAAGTATCATGGTCTGGAAACAGTAAAGAACTCTGAAGGTTATTCACTAAAGTGAGATTTCAAAGTGCATTTAAAATTTAAGGTCAAAATAGCCAAACTCTCTAAAAAATTCTCAAAGTCTGCATTGCTTCCAGTTTGGCTACTATGGCCTCAAATTTGAAATTGACCCTGAATCCTCACTTTAGTAAATAACCCTGTATGTGTCCCTACAGGTGTTCCAAATTGTCTCTCTAAACTGAGCCAAGTGTACGATAACAGGCATCGGAGTAGAGTATACAGGAATACACTTGCCCTGAGCCAACTTTCACCAGCATGCTATGCATATAAATTGGTGTGGATACATTGCAGGCTGGGTGTGTTAACATATGGGCTCATATATGTTAACATATTCCATGCTTATTGAATAGACCCATTGATTTAAAATAAATTCAATCATTATTTCTTTTTTACGACTTTTCACATGCTCTTCCTTTGTGCAGAGGGAATTAAGTATGGGATCCTAGGAAGGGTGTAGGGAACAAAACTTGTGTTGACTGGCTGACTATAAATTAGTTAAAGGACCATACTTGTTTTCCTGGCACTATTGTGCCTGAGGGTGCCCCCATCCTCAGGGTCCCACTCCCGCCCGGCTCTGGGGAGAGGAAAGGGTTAAAACTTACCTCTTTCTCCAGCGCCGGGCGGGGAGCTCTCCTCCTCCTCTCCTCCCATTCGGCTGGCTGCGCGCGCATTCAGCCGGTCTCATAGGAAAGCATTTACAATGCTTTCCTATGGACTCTTGCGTGTTCTCACTGTGATCTTCACAGTGAGAATCACGCAAGCGCCTCTAGCAGCTGTCAATGAGACAGCCACTAGAGGATTTGAGGGCTGGATTAACCCATTTATAAACATTGCAGTTTCTCTGAAACTGCTATGTTTATAAAAAAAATGGGTTAACCCTAGCTGGACCTGGCACCCAGACCACTTCATTAAGCTGAAGTGGTCTGGGTGCCTAGAGTGGTCCTTTAATGTAAAGTTGACGTTCGCATTGTGAAAATGCTCTTGCTGCAGTGTAACAAGTCCCCTTAATTCTACATTCACTACATCCACCTTTTTCTCTGTCCCAGGCTGCATACTGAGAGCTACTGTCTTCTAGTAAGACATGATGAATGGACAAGAAAGTGCAGACAGGCACTGTCCCTAGAAAGCGTAGAGCGAGCACATTATTAGATGTGTTGGTGCCAAGCTCAGGGTGCATTCACGCCAGGTTTACCAATTATTTGAGCAGATATGCCCTCTTTCGCATCACAGGCCACTTCTTTTAACCCACTCCCCAACATCCCACTTCAAAGACTGCCGATGTTGGGGGGTATGGGTTTGCCTGAGAGATAAAGCAAGAGATGATCATATTCTTATAAATCCTGTAAGTTTCCCTCTGGCACCACTGCCACCAAATACATGACACTTAGCAGGTATAACTGTCTTAGTGCTTTCTGTTAATAGGATTCTGTAATTATCCCAATTATAACGGTCATCACCAGGTCCAATGGAGAGGGTTTATGATTGATACATTATGGAATTAGTATTGGGGAGGTACACAGTGTGTCCAGACACACCTAATGCAAAGCGAGTTGCTCTCTTTGGAGCGTTCCCTGCACATTGGAATAATGTTAGATGTCCATTGTCTGAAAGTACAGAGTGTGGAATATCATGGCTATTACAGCCATCATGTTGTAATTCAGGGGTCCTCAAACTCCGGCCCCCCAGATGTTGCTGAACTACAACTCCCATGATTCTTTGAATTACATAGAATGATGGGAGTTGTAGTTCAGCAACATCTGGGGGGCCGGAGTTTGAGGACCCCTGTTGTAATTCTTGTTGCAGTTCAGTACAATTCGCTGAATTCTATGTTAGAACGTGAAGACATCCCTGTGACCTGAGAGAACCCTGCAGGATTCCACTAGCCCCGCCCCTTCTGCCACATCTCCCGCAATCCCCTCCTTTCTTTCACAGTGCTTAGGCGGGTGAGGTCATCACGGCTGGCCCCGCCCACTCACTCGCACACTTCCTCTGTCTCTTCCCAGTCTGCCTGTTGTCATCGGGTCGCCTCATCACCGGCCAATCACAGGAGCGTCCCGAGCTTCCGTGATGATGTCAGTCAGCCAATCTGCTCGCGGCTTGGCTTTCTAGGCCGGGGGAAGGAAGGGGCGGGGCCTACTGAGTGTGTGTGAGAGAGAAACAAAGAGAATCCGGTGCGGGCGGGCTCCTTGCGGTGAATCCCTGCGGCCGGATGGAGCAGTGCGGGCGGGCGGCGCTGAGCTAGGTGCCGGTGGGTCGGGCGGGCAGGAGGGGGCGATGCGGTCTGGCTCCCCGCCATTGAAGCCCTGCAGCTGATCCCCCGCGAGCACTGCACCATGCCGGGCGGAGGCCCCTGGGGGCCCCCTGCTCAACCCGACCTGCTGTTACTGGAGCCCGAGGAGATCCGGCTGAGGCTGGCCGCGCTGGGCCTGGAGAGCCCGGGGGAGGGCGATGTCCCGGCGGAGGAGGAAGGCGGGCCCGGGGAGGAGCTGTACCCATGCGGGGCCCCCGGGGAGCTGCTGGCCGGAGCGGTGGACCCTGGAGATCTGCTGGCAGCCGGGGCCCCTGGGGACCTGATGGCGGCCGGGGGCCCCGGGATGCTGCTCCTCGGTGCCGGGTACCCGCTGGGCGCGGAGCAGGCCGCCCTGAACATGCGGAGGAAGAGCGTGAACACCAACGAGCTGGTCCCGGTACCCAGCTCGGAGCATGTGGCGGAGATCGTGGGCAGACAGGGTGAGTGTGCACTCAGGGGAGGGAGTGCTTACAGCGAGTGTGCACTTAAGGCAATGACGAGATACGTGTGAGGGGTGCAGAGATGGTCATGAGCAGAGTGAGTGCATGGTTAGGTGAGTGAGCTCTCAGCACCCTCTGAGACTGGTGGGGTTATTCTGATTGAGTGCGCCCTTAGAGACTTGTGGGGGTATTCTGATTGAGTGCGCCCTTAGAGACTTGTGGGGGTATTCTGATTGAGTGCGCCCTTAGAGACTGGTGGGGGTATTCTGATTGAGTGCGCCCTTTGAGACTGGTAAGAGTATCAGGGTTGAGTGTGCCCTTAGTGATTGGTGGGTGTTTTCGGGTTGAGTGCGCCCTTTGAGACTGGTAAGAGTATCAGGGTTGAGTGCGCCCTTTGAGACTGGTAAGAGTAATAGGGTTGAGTACGCCCTTTGAGACTGGTGGGAGTATCAGGGTTGAGTGCGCCCTTTGAGACTGGTAAGAGTAATAGGGTTGAGTACGCCCTTTGAGACTGGTGGGAGTGTCCGGGTTGAGTGCGCCCTTTGAGACTGGTGGGAGTGTCCGGGTTGAGTGCGCCCTTTGAGACTGGTGGGAGTGTCCGGGTTGAGCGCGCCCTTTTACATTAGATCACTCCACACCACTAAAGCATTCAAAGCAAATCTCAAATACTAATACCAAATTGGGAAATAACCCCAAACCACCTACGTTTTCAGATTTGCTATTGACTAAAATGTTTAATTCCTGACCCTACACACTTTAGTAAATTACCCTGTCAGTATGCAATGAGAGGTATCTGTTAACTTGCAGACAGTCTCCAAGAAAACGTAGGAAAGGAGTATCTGTTGAATATACATTACATTGGAGTCAAATTACAAAAAACAGGACGTGCCATCAGTAGTGAGTGACAGAGTGTAGGTATGGATTTCATTGATCGAGCCACGGCTCAATTATAAGTTAACTGTATTGAACCATATACAGATTTGGTAAACCAGGACAAGCTGATGCGGCATAATTAAGACCAGTTTGCATATCACAGGACAGTCTGTGTTAACATTATCTTTTGCTCTGATTTCTTCCATGTAGTTAGTTTGCTCATGTGCATGACACAGCCTTGCATATTATCAGTCAAGGAACACTAAATGCCGTCACACAACATGTACATTTTGTCACCAAAGTATTCCCACATTTGTGGCATCTATTTATTTCGCTGTCATGCACACACATCATTGGTAAGTAGTTTGTAAACCTGATTTATACTGCTGCAGAAAGAGTGAATAATTTCTATTTGGCTATAACTGCCCCTTTTTACCTAGGTTTGCTGTGTGTTTTTGAAGCTACAGGGTGAAAGGTATGCAATTCAGTGCTCAAATAGAATTTCGATCTTGGTGCAATTCTCCTTCTGGGCAGTTTAGCAGGCTACCTGCCAGTTGAAATATAGCCCCAATAAATTAATACATTTCTAAAGTCAGACACCCTGGGTATTGTAGGCTGGGTATTTTTACTTTTTCTTTCGGGCTATTTTACCCGAATTCTTACGAAAATATCTAGTAATATTTTTTTCTTGTGTTTGTTTGCTTGTTCATTGAATTTTATCTGTTTATATTGAGCACATACAGTATGCCAGAGCACCAAACCTTTGTTCAGCTCCACTCCCTGTGTGGCATTTGTCTAGTAGAAAGTCACCTATGGTGTAGGTATAATATTGCTTACAGTGGCAAGTAACCCTTAAAGTGACACTATATTCACCTGAACAACTTAAGTTTAATGAAGCAGTTTTGGTGTATAGAACATGCCCCTGCAGCCTCACTGCCCAATCCTCTGCCATTTAAGAGTTAAATCCCTTTGTTTATGAAGCCTAGTCACACCTCCCTGCATGTGACTTGCACAGTCTTCCATAAACACTTCCTGTAAAGAGAGCCCTATTTAGGCTTTCTTTATTGCAAGTTCTGTTTAACCCCTTATGGACACATGGCATGTATGACATGTCATGATTCCATTTTATTCCAGAAGTTTGGTCCTTGAGGGGTTAATTAAGATTGTCTTATCCCCTGCTATGTTAATAGCTTGCTAGACCCTGCAAGTGCCTCCTGTATGTGATTAAAGTTCAATTTAGAGATTGAGATACAATTATTTAAGGTAAATTACATCTGTTTCAAAGTGAAACCAGTTTGTTTGTTTGTTTCATGCAGGCTCTGTCAATCATAGCGAGGGGAGGTGTGGCTAGGGCTGCATAAACAGAAACAACGTGATTCAACTCCTAAATGACAGTGAATTGAGCAGTGAAATTGCAGGGGAATGATCTATACACTAAAACTGCTTTATTTAGCTAAAGTAATTTAGGTGACTACAGTGTTCCTTTAAGGCCTGGCTAGTGGCATAGGATTTCAAAATGTAAACCCTGCCCTGTGTACATTGTAGCCAAAACTAGTGAGAGTTAAGATGTAGTGGGGTTGTGGTAGTCCTGCAAGCACAGGGTACGTTAGTAATGGTTTAAAAACATAACTTTCACATGGTTGGTATTTAAGGCCTTGTGTTGCCAGAGAAAGTTGTTTGGTTCGCACAAAAAGGGTTTAAAGGACCACTCTAGGCACCCAGACCACTTCAGCTTTATGAAGTGGTCTGGGTGCCAGGTCCCTCTAGGATTAACCCTTTTTTAATAAACATAGCAGTTTCAGAGAAACTGCTATGTTTATACTGAGGGTTAATCCAGCCTCCAGAGCCTCTAGTGGCTGTCTCATTGACAGCCGCTAGAGGCGCTTGCGTGCTTCTCACTGTGAAAATCACAGTGAGAGCACGCAAGCGTCCATAGGAAAACATTGTAAATGCTTTCCTATGCGACCGGCTGAATGCGCGCGCGGCTCCTGCCGCGCATGCGCATTCAGCCGATGACGTCGCGAGCAAGGAGGAGTACAGCTCCCCGCCCGGCGCTGGAAAAAGGTAAGTGTTTAACCCCTTCCTCTCTCCAGAGCCTGTGCGGAGGGGGTCCCTGAGGGTGGGGGCACCCTCAGGGCACTATAGTGCCAGGAAAACGAGTATGTTTTCCTGGCACTATAGTGGTCCTTTAAGGCTGGCGTATCTACCAAAAAGTATCTTTTGAAGTGGTCAGCATTAATCGGATAAAATACCTTTCTGCTATTTTGGGAAATAGGTGATCTATATTGATTTGAGTACACACTGGCACTTTATTCTCTTTTATTTATCTTGTTCCTACTTAAGTGATATGATCTCACTATAAATGATATGTGGTACATATACGCTATTGTTGTACAAGTGTTTCTAGAGAATCATTGAGTTATCTGGAATTGATTCAATGAAACCATCCCAGAAGTTGAAAAAGGAAATCTGAGAAACCTACAGATGGCCTGAGGCTAGTTATAACCCGGATATAGAAATTAAGCAGGGCCTGAAACGCTGTGTATATATAGGACAAAAGAGAGGCTGTTCGAAGTGCTGGCACTCACATTGAAGTGAGTCCAAGATTCACTACTGGGTAATGTTGTAAATGTATAGATTTTGGGGATTTTTTTTGACAATAATTATTGCTCCTAAAGGGATCACTATAGGCACCCAGACCGCTTCAGCTTAATGAAGTGGTCTGGGTGCCAGGTCCAGCTAGGATTAACCCTTTTTGCTGTAAACATAGCAGTTTCAGAGTGACTGCTATGTTTACATATGGGTTAATCCAGCCTCTAGAGGCACTTCCGCGTTTTTCACTGTGATTTTTCACAGTGAGAAGATGCCAGCATCCATAAGAAAGCATTGAGACTGCTTTCCTACGGACTGGCTGAATGCACTCGCGGCTCTTGCCGCGCATGCACATTCAGCCGGTCATGGAAGAAGAGGGAGGAGAGTCCCCAGCGCTGAGGGAGCCTGGCGCTGGAAAAAAGGTAAGGGATTAACCCCTTCCTCCCCCCCCCTCACCGCCACTGGAGTGGGACCCTGAGGGTGGTGGCACCTCAGAGCACTATAGTGCCAGGAAAACGAGTATGTTTTCCTGGCACTATAGTGGTCCTTTAATAACCTAAGGTGCAGCAGTATTTGTGGCAGCATAACATAACTGTATTATTAATTTTTTATACGGTGTCGGCAAATTTCGCAGAGCTGCGTTATAGAAACAGTCAATAACAAGTGTAGAAACTAGGCGACCCAGAGGTATTTTTCAGTATCCTATTCCAAAATGGAATTTCTTATTTAACTAGTGTGGAGGTGTATAGCTCTGTCAAAGCTAAATAAACAGGAATTCCATGCAGTTATAAGCCATTTACTACCATATTGTGTGTGATGTCACACAGGACCAGATAAAATAACATTCTATTAATAAATACATATCTCTTCAGAAGGCGTTGCTTTATTAATATATACATTGACAAAACATGTCTCGGTGCTGAGCAATGTGTTGAAAGTGGTCTAGGTTAGAATGTTTATATATATATATATATATAATTTGCAAGCTTGGACTTGCAACAGATTTTAAAAGGAACACTACAGCACCACTGCTGCTCCCCCTTCCACTATGAACAGTGGAGAGCCAGAACCTCTCTGTCTAAGCGAAGTCCTGCAAGTGAAAGAAGGTAGTGGTTATGGTGGTTTGAGTGTTCCTTTTCAGAAAGGGCTAGTTTAACGCAAAGAATATAATACTGAACACGTGTCATACAATACATAGAACCTATGCATAAAGAAAATGATAGATTTTTTTTTTTTTAAGTATATGTTTATTTTATCTTTTCCAAAAATGTGTTAATAAACAAGTCATCATTCCCACGCTGTGAAATTAAACAGTTTACTGCAGACTTTCTATTGATTTATGAATAGTAATAATAAACCGGAAATAAATTTGTGTCAAACTTTACCCCTTAAGGACAGAGGCAATTTTCCAACTTATAAACAAAACCTAGCATTTAAACTGTTTGTTCCACCATAAGTTAAAGGTTAATCTTTGTGTTCCCTTACACATTACATATTATTTCAAAAGGACATATGCATCTATTGCACATCAAACAAGATGAATCCTGTTTCTGGCAATGCACTCTGGATCAGTATTTTTCCTCCTCCTGACAAAAGCTTGACACAAGATGGAGCTACAGTTGTCAAGCTGTCATTTCCCCCAAATGTCACCTGTGATAGCTGTAGGGAAATTAGACAGGCGTTTAACTGATAAGAACAACAACCTTAGACCAGTGTGAGGGGCACCTGATTGGTGAAACCTCATTCAGGTTTTGGGAAAGCTGTCTGCTGCAGCTTCAGGAACTATCAAGATAAGGTTTTAATTTTTAATGCATTATTTTCTCCCAAGAGTGACAATTTAACAGCAGGTGGAAGAAGCACAATTCAAGTCCCCTTGTTTGAGTGGATATACTCTTGTATGTTGTTGAAATTATACTCTTTGTCCTTGAAGAATTTTAGTTGACTGTGTAGGTCAAGTGAGAATGGATATTGAATTTAACGCTTCCCACTCTGATGTAATCAGTGTGATCTCATCTGTGCATTTGCTTTTAGAGTGCATATTCTCTGTGCTGCTCAGAATGTAGATTTTATGTAAAGGGTGGATGTGGAAGCATGGGAAAACCAAATGTTCACTTAATTTTATTAATTTAAAAACAAAATCTCATGACCAAACTACTAATTTTAAGGTTTTCTTACCTATATGTGCTCCATAAAACTGTCACTCTTTTCCTTTAAGTGACACTATAGGCACCCAGACCACTTCAGCTCATTGAAGTGGTCTTGGTGCCCTGTCCCCATTAGCCCTGCAATGTTAAAACCTCTACCAGACAGCCACTAGAGGTGCTTCTGGGAGTTTAGCGGACTCTCTGTCCCCTAAGTGATGCTGGACGTTCTCACACCCAGCATCTGGACATCCAACATTGTTGAAACCCCTATAGGAAAGCATTGATTCAACGCTTAATTATGGGAAGAGCCTAATGCGCTTGCAGGGCATGAGATCACCATGTCCGATGACATCAGAGGTCACCAAAATGGTGGGTTAAACACTATAGGGTCAGGAATACATGTTTGTGTTCCTGACCCTATAGTGTTCCTTTAAGATACTGATGTCAGACTAAAGTACCAAGCCCTACTTACTTCATCTCTATAAATGTGCGGGTAATTTAGATAAGCTACTTCGTTACTCAATCAACTTTAACATGCATTTAATGTCAGCAAAATTCACCTTGCTACTGATAAATGATAATATTTCTCAAATAATTTAGTTTTATGATATCTGGACTTTGAGTGTCTTGTGATGTTTAGCCTTTTAACGAACTGGTATACATGTGATGTGTACTGTGCTGTATGTTTATTTTTAAAAACAGCAGTTTTTAGACTACTGTGGATATATTAAAAATATGGTGTGATTATTAAAAAAGCCTTTTTTCTTTTTCTTCTACCAAACTATTACACTGCACACATTAAGGGAGGAACCAAATAAGGACCAATGCTCTTTTAAAATGAGACGCATTTGTGACCAAGAACCTCTTGGCACATTTGACATGCGTTTATTATACCACATTTTCACCATTTCTGTTTAACTGTACCTATGCACGCAACATTAAATATGTTAATGTTTTTTCTCCCACCTGTTGTGCATTTAATAATGTCTACTCAACAAGTGCAACTAAAGAAAAATAATTCTAAATGCCTAATATATGTAGGATTTCAATGATTTTTTTTTGTTTTTTAAAGAAGTCAAAAAATTGCTAGGTGTGAATTATAGTTTTAAATTAAACCTTCACAAATTTGGCATGCTGTGATTATAACTTTATTGGTAGTCACAGAGTCCAAAACTGCTACAGATAAAATATATATTTGTAGAAAGTAGTATTTATTTATTTTTATTTGGGGAGAGGGTGCAGTTTAATGTCCCTTTAATGCTAAATGAGTGAAGCCCGTATCCTCTGCTGCATGGGTTAATGAGATCAATTTAAGTAGTCATCAGCAGTTGTGATTGGCTAAGAGTATCAGTTCACCACTTCACCCTATCAAAGAACTCAGTGTCTGTATGATTTGGTATGGCTAAAGGAAGTGTGCAATTTCTTTCTTCGCCATACTTCCAGTAGGAGCTGAACTGTGGGTGGCCAGTGATCTTTATTTAGTGTTAAACTGTTCAAAATTAAAGATGCACTACTTTGGTTATTTTGCACATAAATCCGGTTTCATAGAACTCCCTCCTAGCTACTCTGCATACTCTTATTTATTAATTTTTAATCTTAAACTTTCAAACTACAAAACCTAAACCTGTGTGTTGTTTTTTTTGCATGTGGGGGTACAGTTTATAAAAACATATGTTGTGATAGAAGATAACCAGTTGGCTCATTAAGTCAGCCCATTATGAAATCTCAGACTGATTTTGTTTTTGTTCTACAGGGTAGCGTTATGCCTATACCAATCAATCATAAATTCCTTTACCGTGTTAGCATGCTACTTCCAGATGTGTCTAGAGTCCCTAAATGACTCTTCACTTTAGTTGTTTGCTTATTTATATATAAGCAGCTTTATGCTCACTTGCACATTATTTAGCTATTCATATTGTGAGTTTTTAACATTGTATCCGGTTTCTTTTCCAATGCAGGTTGCAAGATTAAAGCACTACGGGCCAAAACGAACACTTACATAAAGACACCAGTCCGTGGAGAAGAGCCAATATTTGTAGTCACTGGAAGAAGAGAAGATGTGACGATGGCCAAAAGAGAAATTCTTTCAGCTGCTGAACACTTCTCCATGATACGAGCATCTCGCAACAAAAATGGTCCCTCTGTGGGCACTGGGCAGTGTGCCCCTAACTTACCAGGTCAAACTACCGTTCAAGTCCGGGTTCCTTACAGAGTGGTTGGCCTTGTAGTTGGGCCTAAAGGAGCGACAATTAAACGAATACAACAGCAAACCCACACCTATATAGTAACCCCAAGCCGGGATAAGGAGCCAGTCTTTGAAGTGACAGGGATGCCTGAAAATGTTGATCGAGCTCGTGAAGAAATTGAGATGCATATAGCTATGCGCACTGGAAATTATATTGAGCTGAATGAGGAAAATGATTTCCACTATAATGGTACAGATGTGAGCTTTGAAACTGGAGGCATCGCATCCTCTTGGCTAAGTGCAAACCCAACAGCTCCTGGTCGTAACCGGATGATTTCGAACTACCGAAATGATAGTTCTAGCTCCTTGGGTAGTGGCTCTACAGATTCCTTTATGGGAAGTAGTAGATTGGCAGATTTTAGTCCATCAAGTCCTTATAGCACTGGCAATTTTTGGTTCGGAGAAACTATGCCAGCCATGAATTCTGAGGATCTGTCTGATGCATCGGCCTTTGATCCAATACCATCTTCCTCTGAGACCATCTGGGCGCCTTACGATTCAGGAAACACACTCTCTGGCTATGGAAGCGAAGGCACTGCGAAGACTCAACGCAGAGGAAGTATGTCTCCTACCTTCACAGAGGGTGTAGATTATCCTCAAGCAAGAAGTATTAGAAACGACTTTCCCAGCGCAGGTGAAGTTGGGCTTCCTATCTACATCCCGGCATTTTCAAATGGTACAAACAGCTATTCTTCTTCCAGTGGGGGTTCCACATCCAGTTCTCCCCCGGAAACAAGACGGAAGCATGACTGCGTTATCTGCTTTGAAAACGAGGTCACTGCTGCGCTTGTTCCATGTGGTCACAATTTCTTCTGCATGGATTGTGCTAACAAGGTGTGTGAGAAAGAAATACCTTTATGCCCTGTATGTCAGGCCAATGTTAATCAAGCAATCCAAATACATTCTTAAATGTACAGATGTTTAGAAGTACAATATAGCACTCTTCCTCAAATCCTATGTATACACGTTGAAGGCTGGATTTAAGCTGCAGTTTGTAGATGATTATCACTGCTGCTGGCACCTCACTAAATTTAACTGCATGTCCAGTTTCACTAGGTGGAGATCAGCTGATTAGCATTTAGAACGGTAAACGTGAGATCATTATACAGTAAATTGATTTACAGAGCTAGTTTACATAGTGCAACATTATGTTTACAGAAATTTCAGTTTTTACGATGCATCACTGCCTTTTTGTTTGTTCTTCTACGTATGAAAAATTAGAAGAGGCAGATATTTCTATCATACTACTAATCCTCCAGTGTTTGTAAGCGATTTTCTTATCGCCTGCATGTGCTGAAGATCCTCATAGCTTGTAGATAAACACTACCAGAGGGGAATCTTGGTAGATATCAAGTGGAATTAATCACTTGTCTGCTCAGGAACATCAACCCGCTGTTTTTATGAATTGCCTGGATTTCTTTAGGGGCTTAAAATGTGCAAACTGGCTAATATAGAATGTTACATTCCACTTATTAGTCTGATCATGTAATTAACCTTTAGTTTTACAGGAAAGTTAATGTGAATAATCTTTACAAGCCACCCGTGACTTGAACTTTTAGTCTAAGCAGAAAAGGGAAAGGCTAGTGTAACTATGCTCTCACCAAAACCGATTTCAAGTATTGATTATAGTCCTTAACGAGTCAAGTCTATTGTAGTTTAAAAAAATAAAAATAGATTTTTAATCGCAGGGAAAGAAGTTTTTTTTTTTTTTAATTTTATTCTCTCCCTTTTATTTTTTTGCATTTCAACCTGTGGATATACTTCTCTTAAGTCTTTCTCAGTCTGTTTTTAAACACTTGCATCAATATGCAGAAATTAAAAGAAGAAAAAAAGTTTTAAAAAAAAATAATAAATCTCAGTATGGATTTTCTATAAATATTTTTGAAACAGTTTTTTTCTCAAGGTAAAAGTTTATTTTATTTTTTTTTCACAATAACACAAAATTGAAGTTGTCCAGTCTGTGTACTGACTAGTAAATATCTAAATCTTTATTTTCTATTTCCACTTGAAGTTACATTTCTTACAAAAGTTTACAAAATATTGTTTATTTTAGATTTATTATTTTTTTCGGTATAAAATTGCCTTGATGGCATAATATGTATTGCAAAACCTTTAAATGCAAACTGCTTATAGAATAGTTATGTCAGTATTGAAACTTTAAACAGTAGCTGCAGTCTTAGCAAGTATGCACGAATGTTCGCCAGCATGTATTTTATTATATTGCATAGTACACGGTAACTAACAAAAGCCAAGGAATTAACCTATATATTAGATGCGTGTACCATTTATATAAACTACAGATGTTAGAATGACAAACTATCAATATAGTTTAGTATATGCTAATTTTATTATTACACTTTTGTTATGTATATGTAGGGAGGTTATATAGGGATTATAAATTCAGTTTGAGTAAAGGTTAAAAAAAAATCATATATTTTATGATAAAGGGCCTTTAACTTATTATGGCCAAAGCACTGATATTATATATTTGCTGTAAAGAGAATTATAAGAGTTTTATTTTTTGGATATTAAAAGTTAATAAAGACTTGTTTCCATTAACTTATATTTGAGATATTTATTGAGTCTGTCTGCTAGATTCTGTGTTTTGTTACTTGTTAATTTCTATATCTGAAATTTTATTCTGTCCATAAAAGCATTAAAGTTCTAAAAAAAAAATCAATTCTGGCATAGAATATTTTAATTTAAGCTGTCCCTGTCCTCCTTTAAGACAAGGTGATATTCACGTTGGTTTGCAGTTGTGTGTTTTTTATGTAATTAACAGCAAATGTATACATTAAAACATATATCTGTTTAAGAATGCAAAGTTCACCTTCAGACACATTGTTCCTATGCCAGATGCTACCTTCCTTGATTTAGAATACTTAATATTACCTGTTGATTACTACTATATGGATAAAATGAATAATAAAGAGGAATATAACACGACTGGCAAGCTGACTGGTAAGATTCTGTGGTTTATGTAAAAAGCTTAATAAAGAAAAATGCTTTTGCTGAAAAAAGAAACATATATTTATACAGTTCATATAAGTATGGTAGCACTCAGTCTTTTTAAAGCAATTTCAATCGTTATTCATACAATATAGTAATCTAATAGATCGACTGAAACCTCAGTTGAATTACTATGTTGCGTAAAAAAAAATTGAAACTCCTGTAAAAGAGTATGATTGAAATATAGATATGTTAATGACATAAAAAGATTTCCATATTGTATGACTAGTCTAAAATGTTTTGGTATGTTTTTATCTAAACCATATGTTAGAGATTTGTCACTGTAGTATTTGGAGTAACAAGGGGCTATATCTGTCATAATGGAGAAAGGGATGGGAGTGGGGAGTATAGGGTTAGTAACCTTCCCATTAAATAAATGATTTTCTTCACAATATTTTGTTGATTAACACCCTTTTTATATAGAAATTGTTCACAGAACTTTTTTTTAAATCTTTTTTTTTTTCTCCATCACTTTAATAGATCGATTGAGATTTATTCTCACTGCAAGGTAGTGGATAGAGTTGAGGGTGAAAGAAAGGTTTTAGAATGCTTGCTATTGTTTGCACTTGATTATAAATTCTAAGTATTTGTATAGGACCAACCTATTCTGCAGCTTTTTAATATTCATGCCTGGTGTCTGTATATTAAGGATAGACCGATATTGATTTTTTAAAAATTTTTTTTTTTTTTTTAGAGCCGATACCGATAATCTGTGAATTTTCAGGCCAATAGCCATTAACTTACCGATATTCTGTACATTTACCATTTTTTTTTTTTTTAAATTAACTATTTCTACACAAATCTATTGTTAACTGAACATGTTTGTTTATTTTATTTTTTTTATTACGGTAAATGCACAAAATATACATGCCAGTCAGAATTTTGTATGTTTTCAAGAATGTGTGTAAAGTGGATGCAGTGAGAGTATTTGATTAGTGAATGCAGTGTATGTAGTGGATGCAGTGTGTGTGTGTGTGTGTGTGTATTTGTGTAGGTATGTGTGTAAAAAGGGGGGTTGGGGGAGGAACTTTTTTTTTTTTAGATTCTGTTTTAGTCCCCCTCCCTGCTTCTTTCCTGGCCAGGGAAGGGGTATATGGACATTCCCAAAGGGGCCCAGCAACACTCAAACTTCCCTTCCCAGCAGCTCCCCTGTCTAACTCTCGCGGCCTGCTTGCCGCACTGAGCGTTGCCATGGTAACCCGTGGCAATGCTTTGACGGCCATAGGACATCGCAAGAGTTAGACAGGGGAGCTGAAGGGAGCCGCTGGGAAGGTAAGTAAGAGTGTGCTGGCCCCCCCCCCCCTCTTTATTGGCTGATATCGGCCAGATCCTTACTGTATATGCAGCATTTTGCAATGAAATACTTCAAAGACCAAGTTTAACCCCTTTGTTGCAAGAGGTGTAACTCCAACTCCAGCAGTGTGATTAGCCATCCAAGAACAAATGTTTTTTGTGCTGGCTAATGGCAACTTTGTGCATGTTTGTAAAATATATATGTAAAGAGTTGCATTCGTTGGTTGAGAGCAGTCAGTTGACACACTCATCCAATGAATGGCTGTCAGGATCAGCATATAACTTCTGTATCTCTGTAGAAGCCAAATGCACATCACTTGCCATAGAAGACCCTTACAGCCCAGTGGGAACCAAGACAAGAGGGCAAATCTTTGCAGAACAGTTAGCCCCATTACTGGGAAATGGGTGTTAGAAACACTGCAGTGGGCTGTAGTGGTTATGCTTGGAGTAACCCTTTAAAGGACCACTATAGTGCCAGGAAAACATACTCTGAGGGTGTCCCTCTCCCGTCGGGCTCTGGGGGAGGAAGGGGTTAAACTTTCCTCTTTATCCAGCGCTGGGCGGGGAGCTCTCCTCCTCTTCGGCTGAATGCGCATGCATGGCATCTTCTCACTGTGATTTTCACAGTAAGAAGCATGGAAGCGCCTCTAGCGGCTGTCAGTGAGACAGCCACTAGAGGCTGGATTAACCCATTTATAAACATAGCAGTTTCTCTGAAACCCATATAAATACTTTTCCTTTTTTGGTCAAAATATTTGCTGAGAAATGTGTTGGTCACTAAAATTCTTCATTCAAAGTGTGTAAGAAAACGAGTTAGCTTTTAAAGCAATACTTTCTGTTGGAGCTGACTAAAATACTGCAAAGATAACCAAACGCAGTATAAATGCAAAATGGTCTCAGAAAACTAGGAATAGTGTGTAATAGAACTTATATATGTTAATGTCACTCAAACTATTGTATTACCGCCGCATGTCTTGGAGAATGACATTTAAAAATTGAGACGACCTAACCATTTTCTCTTTCTCCCCTCCAATACATAAGTGGGCAATCAATAAAGCTCACACACAGTTTGCTTAATACTTTCCTGTGAGTTCAGGTTTGTATTTATCCTATGACAATAACCTTGGTCGATCAATCCATTCACAAAATGTATCCAATTTGGGTGACAACTCTTCCAATACAAAGTATCTAAATATGGAATGACAGTAGATACAGATCTCATTGTAATGCTTACACGTTCAATTAAAGGGACAACTTCAATTGGACTCTCTAATTATGTTGTACAATTCTAGAATCTGTGCGGTATAAATAGCTCTGTAAACATAGTGGGGAAAATGTGTTTTAATCTCACTATATTTTATTCCTCTCCCTGCAATCATTAAATGAAAGCAGAGAGTTGTACCACAAAGGCTAGTCATATAGATCTACTTTGAGATAGATTAGTTGCAACATACTGTGTATATAAAGACCCGAATAAGGCAGAGCCCTAAACCCAGTATGGGGTTCACCTACAGGTTTACACATTGAATTGTAAGGAAGAAGAAAATTGTAAAATCCCGGCTAAAATAGCCACGCTGTAACTATAGCTGATTATGAACTTTCTTTTGCTTTAAGTGCCTATTTTAACCTAAATAAAAGTGTCCACTTTTTTTTTTTCCTGATGAATATGGTGGCAGGAGTCTATTGGGATGGGGGCTTGTTGCACCCCAGGCAGACATGACTTTGGTAGTGTGGAACTCAGTGTTAGGCTGTTTTAAAGCAATCCTGTGCAAAAATGATCGGTCTGCACGGTTGTGACAGCTATAGTTAGTTTCTGGCTTGCAGTTGTTCTATCAAATTTCCCTACCCTCGTCACTTCCGGTGAGGGGAATCAGCTAGATCCTGTGCTGCACATGCATGCTAGCACTCCTGCTGCTCCTCCACAGCAAGGTCCTGGAAGGTAAGTAAAATTAGTTTTACACTTTCATTATAGTTAGTGCATTCACTAAGCTTAGGAAATGGGACATTTAGGGTTAAGGTTAGGGTTTAAATTAGGGTAAGGATTAGGGACTTGTTCATATTTAGTGATATTTCACATTAGGGGAATTTCACTAAATTGTGCTTTTTCACACTTTATTTTAACCCTTACCCCAAGGATTAGGGTAAGAATAGAGTGTGAGAGAGGATAGAATCACTTACCTTACCCTAATTTGAACACTTACAACCTTAAATGTCCCGTGTGCCTAAGCTTAGTGAATGCACTAACTATAATGAAAGTGTAAAACTAGTTTTACTTACCTTCCAGGACCTTGCTGTGGAGGAGTAGCAGGAGTGCTAGCTCTGAATTTTAGGTAACTTTGTACTTTATTTGCAGGTTTATAAGGGGGTTCGCAGTGAATAATTCCCAGTAGCGATTTGTAAACTATTTGAAACCACTAAGGGTTAGGAAATCCCTTTAATATCCAAGCACAATTGAAAGCTAATTTACAAACACATTTATAGTTGCTTGCTCCATGTTCCTGTGCTACCCTTACAAAATATTACTGTGAGATTTACTACCTCAGAGCTCAGTGCAGCACTTTTTTTCCACAGCAATAAAACTCCCAGTAATGTATGATCTCATTGTATGACACAATCACACAACAATGAATGTCAGTACAAAATGTGAATGAGAGATATCAGAACTCCACAGCAATAAAACTCAAGTTAATGAATGATATGTAATCCTTGTACACACCACAATAGTTCATGGGAATAGAAAAATTTCATGACATAGAAATCTTTGTTATACTAATATGTAATAGTTTTGTTGTGCTTTAGAGATGTAGTCCATAGTGCTATATTACTATGAGTGTTATTGCTGCAGAGCTCTGTGATACACTCAAACATGCCATACATTACAGGGTGTTTTATTGCCGTAGACCTTTCTGATACCCTTATAGACATAATACATTAATGTGGCTTTCAGTATAGGAAAAGGGATAGTACATCTGCAGTGCACCTTACCAATAGTATTAGAGCTTCTTCCATAAATGTCCCTAATTGACGAGGGAATTGTAATTTCTAATAGCTGAGCTTGAAAAGTTGCAGACCTGTAAAAACAAAAAATAGCTGGCCTATGGCTAAAAAATGTGATTTCCTCATCCATTTACCATCACGCCTGGATAAATGTATAACCCTGTGCCGGGCCGCCATCTGAAGTTTTGGGGCCCCTAACACAGCTCAAGGTCTGGGCCCCGGGTGCCCGCCTCAAAATCCCGCCCACAGACACACAAAAAGATGCACACATATTAACAGCCTCA